GGGGGGGGGGGAGAGGGAGGAGAGAAAACGATAAATAAATCAAGTAGGATCGAACGTAAAGAATATCTCTAAAGATAAAGAAATACGAATTTAACGTGGAAATTGCGGAATGTATAATCGTTATGAGAAATGCGAAGACGGAGACCGAATAGAGAAGAAAATGGTAAAAATGCAGACGTATAATTTCTTTTTCGAGTGAGTGTCCCTCTGTCCATGTTGGTAGGTAAAGCAAGTGTATAGGTGCCTGGTGTAGGTTATACCTATGTGGCTGATGTGACTTCCTACCGATTAAGCAACCTAAAGAAGTTAAATTGCTCTCATTCAACCGAGTAGAGTAGATGCCATTCATGCCTAATGTACGCCGTATAAACTAGGTATAACACGACTCAACAACTCGGGCGCTCGACCGACCGACCGGCCGACCAACTGACAGACCGACCAACGGACTTCAACTTCTCTATTTTTACTCGTATAGTTATATCTGTGAGTCCTTCTCTTTTACTTGATGCCTTATTGTTAATTACCAATCTTAACTAATACTTAATCGCACTTAACTCATAGCTTAATAGACCTACTTAGGTCCTTTCTTAGCTGAGCCAGATAATACATTAATGATCCTTATTTCCTTCGTTAAGATCAGAGGCACGAAAGAAACATACGCGCACGTAATAGAAAGACCCGATTGCCGATTGGTCCTCGGAGTATAAACTATTATCATGACTTTTATTACACCGAATACTGTATTCAGCAAGATCTATGTTGTTCTATGGGGAAAATTCTTGCTTTGTGTTTTCATATCTCTTCCTCATCCTTGATACACTCTGCGTGGACAATTTTCGTTGTTTAATGAAATTTCAATGTTTATACCTGAATCTAATTCGCATTGGGACACGATGGATTCTCATTTGTCTGAACTAGTGACGATTATACAGAACAAGAGATGATTTGGTTCTTATACTTAATCTGATTTCGACGTAAGGTATGAATATTGAGTTACTAAAATAGTCATTTATTGGCTTGGATACGTTTGCAAGTTCGGGCAATGGGTCATCACTTTTATAACGCATCGAAACTACGAACCGTAGATTATAGTACGGTGTAACACGTCTGTAAATATTTTGTTATTTGCATATATGTTTCAATGCTCAATGACAGTGCACATACGAAGACTGTGAAATGAAGAAAATTGTCAAGAAATGACGGTAATGTGAAACAGCGTTTTAACGATATAAGACAATAGGATAAATTTAAAAATATTTTTTTTCTTGTCAAAATCATCCTTATTTTACGACTGCATAATAATATATTTAAATAATAAATACCGAAAGTCTCTGAAATATAAATGAAATATCTTGAAGGTAATAAAATATAATTCTAAGCAATTTACGAGTTAATTAAATATGCCAATCCTGAAAATATTAGTAGAAACGTTAAAAACCGCGTGAAACGTAAATAAGTAGATAACTAATATAAAATGAAAATTGTAAAAATAAAAAAAAAGGTCCAACTTGTATATCTAAATGAAGATATATTATTTGACACACCTCGATTTAATAGAACTTGAGCATTATTAAAAGGTTCGTAAGCAAAAGTGTTCAGTGTCTACGAGTCGACATAAATTTCTCCAATGAAAGTAAAGATTTTGAATAAGGAGCAGGAATAAATGTAAAACATAAAAACTAAATCGAAATCACATAACAGCAGTCTATCGGAAGCTCTGTAAAGAAAGATAGTAAATTGCTTATGGAAAATCTGTAAAAATATGTCCCATTTTGCATAGCAATGACGCCGAACCAAGTCCGTCGATCAATAAGAAATTTCAAATCCGTAACGTTCTCATCGTTCAAACTTTTTCCCGTGTCACTCTAACTTCAACGTAACATGTCTGCCTGCAAACGATTTCCTATAATCGAATGCCGACAAAAAGCAACGCATCACCTCGCGCTCTATCGTGCGAATAAAACAACAAAATTTATCATTTTTCATTTCCATTCTTTGCTTCATCCCAGAAGGCCTTGCACGAAGGTAAAAACAATCGTTAGTATACACCCTCGATTTTCTTGCATCCGATTGACTCTCTCTTTTGCAGTAATTGCGATAGAATTTTTTAACAAAAACTCAACAGCGAATCAAAATTGTGTTTGGCACAGCGAACGAATAGTTGTGTGACGGATAATATTTGAAGAGATTAAAAAAATGCAGATAAACCAACCTCCTCCTAGGTCAAACGTATCCATGTTGTCAATCCCGTTGTCACACACATACTACATTAACAACTACTCCGAAGTCCGACATCGTTTGTTGAATCCCGTGTCCCTCCCTCTTCGCGCTCGTTGCGTCTCTTCGATTCTACGACAAAACGTATACAACTCGCCGCACCGTAACGCTAATCGCCAAATCATTGCACTTTGGGTAGTCATCGACACTGATAATAACCAAATATTAATTACATGAATTCTTTCACCCTTTTCTCTGTTCCATCCTTTTATCCCACGTTTATATCGTGTAAATCATTCGTTTAATTAATTATGTCTACACGTCAATATATACATATAGTACATATGTCGAGAGGCCTGGTCGCAACGTAACTTGCTGGAGTAAAGGGCTGCTATGCTGGTGCAATTAAAATTCGAATAAACTCTGCTAATTCTATTCGAATGGGATGAATATTTTGATATTGGACAATATTCTATAAATAGTGGTATTGGGTTTTTTTTTATTGGGATATTTGATTTGGCATTTATTTTTATGTCGATGATTTTTTTATGATTTGGAAGCAAAGTTTACTGAGCCGTGCTATTAAAATTATTGGAATTTTTCGCAATCAATGTTATATAATGTTGTTATATATTTTCAAATTATACAAATACTTCGTATTGGTTAAACGTTTTTTAATGGTGAGTCAACGGTATTGCCAACTTCAGTTATTACAAAGTTTTTTGGTTTAAGAGGGGAACTTTATATGAAAAATAATTAATTGAACTTAATCGAAATAAAATAATGTAATATCTAGTATGATGTTTGTATAATCGGTAGGAAATTAGTTTTCAGTTACAATTCTATGACTACTCGCATTATATTTCTTGTGACAAATTTAAAATAAAACAGACTGATATTTGTTAACCTTAGAAAATATTGTTTTCTCAAAATATCGTTCATACACGTTAATTATTATACAAAATGTAAACTCTAGTAGCTATCGTTAACTATGAAATGAACTTTGACAAGGCTTTTAATGATGTTGCTTAACTTTATGTATGTATATCTTGAAATGTAGTACGGGCTCAAAAATATAATTGTATTTACATATGATAAATATACACGACTTAAATATTTTGAATTTCGTGACTTCTTGTATTATACAATATTATCAAATATTACCTACATCCGAATGCAATTTTGTTTCATCCTATCGCTTTGGCGATTGTTATATTTATTATAAGATAAAAAAGTTTACCTTTCACATACAAAGTTGATCTTACAAGCTTTCCACGAAGACATTGAGGAAAACAAACATTTTTAATCAATCGAGTGACTTTGATTACCTGGATACATGACTAATAAAATTAAATCAATAAAAATGAGTATATCGCACAATACCAATAAATAAAAATAATAATGTAGCACTCGATAAACTTTCTAATATCTTTTAGACTATTTGCTGCTTCTTTATATGCCGTTATTCCAATACAATCCTTTCTCCTTTAAATCTAAAATTCTTTCAAAATTTCATATTTTTATTTCCTATCCCATCGCAGTCTCTTGTTACGTACTAAATCGCCCCTTTCTCCTCTATCGGACGTTCTGCATCTCGTCTTCCCATAAGTTTTCCAATAATAATCAGTATCTATTTTATGTGTTAAATTGTAACGTTACAAGACAACAATTTTCTGTACCTCGCGTCTCATATGATATATCAAAAATATATTTAAAGTGTCAAAAGTTAGTTCAATCCTTTATGCATTAATAGAATTTTTAATAAGAATCAAAACTAGATTATAAATAGTTAAATTTTCAGTAGTATTATGATTTTTAAAAAATGCAATATTTCTTTAAATTTCAATCGAACCCAAGATTCCATTGCATAAGCATTCGTAAATCATTTCGACTTGTATGATATATCGTCACTATCGCCTCATAAGAAGAAAAGAAATTCACATTGATATAGAAAAAGTAAAAAGTCACGGAAAAGATGATGCAAGAAACATTCACTTTCAATGGAATATTATCCTGCTTCTTGCAAGAATACAGAAGAAATTTACTTAGTCGAATAATCTTATCGTCGTGATAACGTCTATAGTCGAATGAATTATACTCATGGTATCGACGTATTGCGTGCCAGTATCGGTTTGAACATCGGATACTGTTCGTCAACTATTATCGAGCATTAATCCATCTTTTTTAAATTAAAAATCGGAATTTTCAGTAATTAATTATGGCAAGACGTCACAGACATATGATCGGTTATAGAATTCTACTGGTACTGGTTATTCCCGCTATGTATTTTCTCTGCGTCAGTTTCGCTGGACTGTTTTCTCCCAAAGATCCGGGTGATAAGACAAAGCTTGAGAATATAGGTGAGTATACAATAAATTGTATATTCTTCCAGATGCATGTACACGGTTATTAAGGACTGTTTAGCAATCTGAAGATGTTTCGCCTGTGGGAATTAATAAAAATCTAATTGATAGAGCCATCTTCAGGTGGTTGATTAGTCTTTAATAGCAGTATACTCGTACGTTATCGAACGAAAAATGGTGAATATGTTTCGAGAAAAAAAAAAACGATGAGTTGTTAAATTTATTATACGTGCAAAAAATAGTATATGATACGCGTACGGGTTGGCGATTCCTACTCGTGTGACATTTGCCGTTACACTCATCAGCAATCATCAACTTTCTGTCCTTGTATCATAATGTACTAATAATATACTTATGATAATATATAAAAATAATAATATTAAATTCAGAGTTCAATCAAATGAACTGTATCACGTGTAGTCTTCTGTCATTGATTTGACGTTGATTTTGATCAAACACTTTCCACCTGTAAAAAGAAAGAATTTTATTATACAGGGTGAATCACGAATCGTGATCAGTTGAGATTACTTTGTTATTAGCAGTCCGATCGAAAATCTTTTTATCAGCTTTTGCATGGTTTCAAGAGAGCTTTAACGTGATAGTGAAAAATTACTGGTCAACTCTTTTTTTAATGTTTTTTCAAGGTTACCTTGAATTTTTTGCAACCGAACATATAATTTTTTTACGCCTGTCTGTTAGAGGATTTCAAGACGAATTCGGCACATGTAAGGACATGACATTTTTTTCATCTGGTTCGAAAGAAAATTAAAAAACTTTGTATCACAAGGAGAATCACAGCTACGCCGTTATTACGCATCCTATGTTGTTGACATGCTAATAACAAAGTAATCTCTGCTGATCACGATTCGTGATTCACCCTGTATATAGCATATTCGAATCTCGTAGTACTCTCTGATACTTTATTACTGTCTGATGAAAATTATTCATTTGAGATATAAGATATATGTATTACGTGGTAGCCAAATATATGTATATGTATATCAAACATAGATAATTTAATAATTCTTTCTTTGTTGCTCTTTTTTTTTATTATTCGCAAGAAAATTAATTAATTCTTAAATTGAATAGTATTTCTGGCTCAGCTAGATTAAATATAATAACTTACGTAACAATTACTTAAACGCAATAGCATAAATGAATTCAGCCAAAAAAAAGAAAATATCCATATATCACATTAAACATATAACTATATCATTTGGATTATATAAAGTGATGATTGATCGCCATTTTTTGTAATTTAACAGAAATTATGTAATATCTTTAGTATCTGTATCTAATTATCGGACACTCGTGATAAGAGGAAAAAAAGAAACTTTAGTTAATTTTACACAGCTTGTAAGAAATTGGACATAAAAATAATTAATTTTCTCCATATACGAATTATCTAAATCCAACACGTTGCCTACTACGTTATGTCATTTTTATAACTAGTACAAAGACGTGTCACGATATATCACGATATATCGTACTATTACATACAAACAATTAATGAAACATTAGAATATATTAATTGATTAATTTCTCTGTTCTCAATTCAAGTGTGATGACTAATTAAAGTATTACAAAATATAATAAACATTATACATTTAATACGTTGAGATGACTGCATTCTATTGGTAATGATAAGGTTAAGTACTGAGGAATCTGCAATAAATAGTCACGTATTTCACAAAGTTCGCACTGCAACAATGAAGACACACGTGTCAGCTTATACCACATAATTGCAATACGCCCATACTCACGTGCTTTCATCGTTTCAAGATATTGAATTATTTTGAGATAACAGAATTAAAATAACCTACAAAAGTCGTTTCTTCGAGATATCATCTGCATACTGTAATCACTGGCAAGAAATTAATTATCATCATACAAAATTTATCGTTATATAATTTCAGGATCTCGTAGACTACTTTGGGTAGAAGAAAATGCTATTGACGGCGAGATTAATTGTACTCCGCCTGCTGTCACCGAGTTTCCATCCGATGGATTCACACGGGCACAAAGACAATCCGGTTACATAGCAATTCATTTTCTCATTGCTATGTATCTCTTTCTGTTACTCGCCATTGTTTGCGACGACTACTTTGTACCTTCTATTAAGAAAATATGTGAAAGTGAGTATAATTTTGTTCAACATGATCTATATTTGTTTTTATACGTATACAGGATTATTCAGGGGAAAAGTATTCATTGAGGTTACCCTGTCTATTTGTTCTTCATAACTCTCTATACGGATTATTACAGTATTGATTATACAGTAGAATTCGCGGAAAATTTATTATGGAATATTATATGGAAGTCCCTAAAAATACTCGCACGATACTGGCTTGATATATATATATTTATTATGATTATAAAAATAATAGATATATCATAGATTTCTAATCAATCAGTGGGCAGCTTAGTCTAACTGGTGTTATTAATCTATACGTGTTTTCCTTAAGAATCGATAAGAATAAATAATTGTTAGCAAACCTGTAGAAAGTCTGTCTTAGAGACGATTTAAAGACGTCTTCAGACCAAATGACAACTCGAAGTCGTCTTTATTAAGACGTCCTTTCGACATTTGTGATAACACGAAAGTCACACACGAGTATCATAATTAACAATGAAAAAGATCGTAAAAAGTGAAAAAATTAAGTGAAACTTTTTTTAAATTTTAATCAATTTAAAAGCCATGTATTCTTCCTCTTAGTAAAATTTGAGGCAAGTTTACAGGATCATTATTATAGTCTATAAGTGAAGGAGTACTATTATCATTTTTGCTAAAGATTTTTTTTTAAGTATCTCCAATGTCATCGAGATAAACCGTATTAATCAGTATCAAATCGGTGTTCTGAGATATAATCAATACGCAGGACTCGGCATGACGAAGGACGTAGCAGGAGCAACTTTTATGGCGGCAGCTACTTCCAGCCCGGAATTATTCATCAATGTTGTTGGAACATTTATCACTGAAGGAGATCTGGGAGTTGGTACAATTGTTGGTTCTGCAGTATTCAATATTCTTGCGGTTCCCGCCTGTTGTGGATTATTCGCAAGACAGGTAACTGACAGTTCATATCCTAGCGGGATATCTCGGTACTAATATTCCTATTTGTCATTATTCGCTCGTAAGGGATCTTTCGTTTTGAACGTTTTATGGCGCGTCACGTTTTCCTTTAAATTTCAGGTATTAGATCTGGATCGGTGGCCCGTTAGCAGAGACTCTCTTGCTTACGGAATCACCGTAGTATTACTCATAGTGACTTTACGAGATGGTCGTGTCGAGTGGTATGAAGCATTAATTCTCGTTTTCTCATATATTATATATATACTGGGTGAGTGTAATTTCGAAATTAAAAGAGCCAAGAAATTTTCCTGTATAATTATTGCTAAGGAAAAATATATTATTTTACAGCCATGGTGTTCAATCGGAGAATAACGAGGTGGATAAATTTATTGAAATTCAAAAGAAAGGAGTATACAAATTTGAGCGAACAAACTCCGCTCGTATGTAATAGTAAGATATTGAATTTATTGATTTGATATTATATATATATACATCTGTTAAGTTTTTTTTTAATTCACTTTTTATGTTTGTGTTTTTCACTTACGCGTTTACTCTTTGTTTCTTACTGGGGCAACTCACGGGTATATTTCTTAGATTGTGGAACGTTGCTACACAAGAAATGGAGACCTTGAGATGATTCGTGGCAGATTGCCCAAATGTACGGGAGTCGTACAATAAGTAAAGATTTTGCGACTTTACTCTGCGTCATTCTGAGCGCCCGGTAACCCAGTTTCCGTTTTGAATTATTTTCCAGTTCCTTTAACGCGATGAATATAACGGTGAATTTCATTTTCCTCAGCATCAGACGCATTTTATAGATACACAACATTAGATTTCCAAGTTTCGTTATAATAACATGGAAGGAACGTTATTCGAATACGACAATAGGTGCAGGCTGAACTAAAATTGAATGTCAATAAAAATATTTATTATCGATAAAAAGAATTATTGATTTAATATTATCGAATAATTTCATCGATTGTTCCAGATCACGTTGAAGACAAAGGTATAGAGGCACTGGAGTTCAGTGACGACGAGGGAGGTAAATTATTTAAATATTTATATATGAGAAGTTTGAATTCTTAATGATTTTATCTTAGATGAATATATTGTGATCGATGAAATTCTTATTTTTATTTACCAGAAATTGTGAATCTGACAAATTGGCCCAGTGGCACCTGGGATAAAGTGTGGTGGGTTTTAACTTGGCCTATTAATTTAGCTTTACTTATCACTGTCCCAGACTGCAGAAGACCGTCCCTTAAATCTTGGTTTCCTCTGACTTTTATTATGTGCGTCGTTTGGATCGCAACCATGTCCTACGTAGTATCATGGGTCATTACGATTATCGGTAAGCTATGAAAATATTTCATAATCTTTAATCGACTTTTAAATGTATTTATATAGGTAAACTGTAAATTAAATGCAATCATCATTAGCCCATACATTTTCATAGTGATTTAAGACCTTTTATTATTTTTATAAAATTTCAGGCGACACTCTTTCGATTCCGGATTCTGTGATGGGTCTGACTTTTCTCGCAGCAGGCATGAGTGTACCTGAAGCTGTGTCCAGCGTCATTGTCACCAATCAAGGTAAAATCATTAATTTAATATAATATATAAATTATATTATTACAGGACTGCGACTTCTGTATATTCAAGACTCGATTCTGATTTGAAGACTTATCATAAATACGAATCCTTTTTTAATTATAATCAACGACATAATGATAAAATGTGACAGTGCGTGTGATGATTCGATAATGATTTAACATTTGAATTCCACGTACGTTTGGTTCCAGGACACGGGACAATGGGCATCAGCAATTCAATTGGTTCGAACGTTTTTGACGTGTTGCTTTGTCTCGGACTGCCATGGTTTGTTAAATCGGCGTTTTTGCCAAAAATACCTGGTCAACATTATGTAAAAATCAACTCAGAGGGTATCGTGTACAGTTCACTCTCTTTATTCTCAACATTGGTACTTTTGTATACGGCATTTATCGTGAACAAGTTCAAACTGGACCGCAAGGTCGGCGTCTACTGTCTGATCATGTACGGTGTCTTTTTGATCTTGGCGTCCCTCATTGAACTCAATACTTTCTTTGTCGTTAATATACCAACTTGCGTTCATTAATTTTTCTTAAGTCTTCAGTACGTATTCCTAACAATACGTGATACTCTCATATGAACAAACATATATACTTATCGATTGACTTATATAGTAATAAAATTACATTGAATTTCTTTTATAAATCATTATTTCCTCGTTCGAACATCCCACAATGTCAATGAAGCATTTGTGTAAGAAACATATGGAATCATACATAGAGTAGCAGGTCGAGAGATCAGTTTCACGTTCATGGGACATTTTAGCCGCAAGAAGGTTGTAACAACCCGTAAGGAAGTTGTCCAACAACAAAACAATAATTGTTTGGTGAGTTGAAAAAGAATATTAAACAAAAGAAAATGTACACATAAGGATAAACATAAAGTAGATTGGATTTCTGCTTTATCGACAGAGTTGTAAGTATAGTAGGAATTCCTAGGAGAAACAAGATTTGTTCGACGTTTCCCTCAGATGATTCACGTAGGATTTAAGTAAATAATTAGATACAGCTACGTATGTACAAGATTAGGGCAAATGCTAAGTACGAAAATATATTCTAATGAATATCAGCTCTATTTTCATCGTAGGATAACTCTTAAATAATTAAAATAATTAAATCATTGCATACGTGTTGCATGATTATTCATTAGTTCTGTTGGAATGATTGTAGTAATTCTGCAGTTTTTAATGATCTAAGCTGAATTTCGGAGAAGCACGTTTATGGGGATTTTCCATTTACTCAAGTCGAATCGACCTATCTCGACACACAGCTTGATTATTTCTTGGCTCTAACAGAACATATTTTAAATGGCTAATAATGTAGCTTTTTGCCGTCTCAACTGGAGCAACAGGAAAACTACTGATCTATATCGATCTTTATCTAAAGGGGAAGTCCGACTTAAGCGATAACCGGAAAATATCATTGAAAGCCAGCCTTATGATTTTACGTCATTTAGATGGCGCTACTGTGACCTATTGAGCGACATGGAATCGAGTGGTCTTTCTACGAGAGTTGGAATTTTCTGACAGTGAAGTGTTGTCGACGCCCAGTTGCTTGTGAGTTGCTGAATTTAATTTTATATATTATTATCAAAGGTACGACAGTCCGCAAACTGCATCACCGGCACGAATTTAATCTCTTGTATACCGCGCAAGTCGTATCTTTATGGGATTGAGTAAATGAAACGAAAAATTCGTAGTGCAGAGCAAAATGGCTCCTCTAAAAACAATTCCTCAATGTGCATATGTGCGTTCTTGCTGATCCGGAGATTGTCGTAATTGGACAATCACGATGTACGGCACATACTGCATACTTATATGCTTTCGAATGCAGCTATTTCGTTGCCAAGTGATCATCTAGTCTTTGGAATTCGGTTAATCGGTCTTGCATGACAGTACTGGAGGCATTTGTGCTTTTAGTACCACTTCCTTAATCGCGGTCACTCAATAGGATGGCATCTCGCGTGTCATACTCTTCTAAGAATACCTACGATAATTTTTATGGTTGACAGTTCTGTCTTTTAAGTTTCATTGTACATTATGATTTTATTATATTTGCATTTTTTAAAGGAAACTTGGCTTTACTGTTCACTATATAGTGGTTCATCATAAGTTTAAATACTTGCTTGAAATTGTTGTAGATAGCATAGATTAAGAATGTTTTTGTAAAACAGTAGCAAAATAATTTAAAATTAAGTAAATTCAACAAATAAATATTCTTTCATTATCGAAGATTTGCTAGGTTATTAATTATCAGAATAGCCTGAAAGATATATCCAGGTATAATGGATATCATTGGAATCTACGATTTTACTTTACATTTCTTATATGATACAAGATTATTGCATTAAATCAGTTAGGAAACTTATATTGTTATATATTTCATTATTGAAAATGATAATTAATCTTTAGTAGATGCATATGGCCTTATAGATTAAAAGAATGTTTATATTTTCTGGAATCACTCTTCGTGTAAGATTGTTAACTTCCTTAAATGATCATATAGCATGGTTATTCAATTATAGCAGAAAAATATATTGAAAATAGATTGAGGCTCTTTGATTACATCCTGTACATTATCTCCTTACATAAACATAATGTGCTATATTTTCATAGGCTAAACTGCCAAATACGACTCCTTGAAGTTGGCTGTATATTGCTAGTGTTTCCTTACATGGAGTTCTTCAAAAGTCGTATTTAGCAGTTTTACCAATTCTTATATAGTAGATCAATGCAAATGATCAAATTTCTTAAATGACCAATGAGATTTTGTTAGAATCAATTTTAACCACATGTGATGTTTATTATGTTAACAGATAGCAAAACGCAGAAATGCAGACAATAAAGTGTGTTGTGGTAGGTGATGGAGCTGTGGGTAAAACATGCCTGCTAATATCATACACTACCAACAAGTTTCCATCGGAGTATGTCCCTACTGTATTCGACAATTATGCTGTGACAGTCATGATTGGTGGGGAACCGTACACTCTAGGATTGTTTGACACAGCTGGTAAGAACAAGTGTTGATTATTAACGTAAGAGCATGAATTAGATTAAACCATACATAATGTACTAAATATTTTCACCGCATATTGATGAGCATAGATAATAGCCACAACACTTTTATCCATGACTGTTTTTTCCAGTTTTTATATCCATTTTTTATCCTGAGATGAAATGCTATATTGTACTATCAGTAGTATCTAGTATGCTTGTTTTATGTAATGATTAGGCTGTTAAATGTGAAATGTTTTATAGGCCAGGAAGACTACGACAGACTGCGGCCTTTGAGTTACCCGCAAACTGACGTATTCCTTGTGTGTTTTTCTGTCGTATCACCATCATCCTTTGAAAACGTTAAAGAAAAGGTGAGACATTGTAACGTTCATTGCTTTCATTTACTGTCAAAACTGTCTAACTTATAAATATTCTGTGAATGTTAAAAAAATGTTAAGTCAGCATGAATCAACGTACAGTACCGTATAACTATTCTACGGCAAAAAACGATCGAACTTAATAATCAAAAACTATCTAGTAAGGAACATCTCTTCTGTGTTATCAGTGGGTGCCGGAGATAACACATCATTGTCAAAAGACACCGTTCTTACTGGTTGGCACCCAAATCGATTTGCGAGACGATGCGACGACCATTGAGAAGCTCGCGAAAAACAAACAAAAGCCAATCACATCAGAACAGGGTGAAAAGCTTGCAAAGGAGCTTAAAGCTGTTAAATATGTCGAATGCAGCGCTCTGACACAGGTAATTTCTCAAACCATATTAATATTATAAAACATTCCTTCTACCACGTAATAATCATCTGTTGAATCTATCGTACATTATCTTGCATATCTTTTGCCTCCTGCAGCAGTATCATCATTTGATCTTGCATCTTACATTTACATTTTTAGAAAGGATTGAAGAACGTCTTCGACGAAGCAATCCTGGCAGCTTTAGAACCACCAGAACCTGTAAGGAGAAGAAAGTGTGTCATCTTGTAGGGGGCTGTGCGTCTTTCCGTCTTATCTTGAAACAATTGGCTCGTTGCGCCCTACTTTGTAAGTTTCATTATTGAATACACATAAGAATATGCATATGTAGGCGACCAAAAAGTAGCCACGAAGACATTCTAAAGTCGAATCAGTTACAGAGTTTATTCTAATAAACCTTGCGGAATTTGTCTCTCGTACAAAAGCTTCTACGCCAGTACCGAAACTTATTACAGTTGCATGTATATAAGACGCGATATCGGACACGCGAATAAATCCAAATTTAATAAGTGATTTTTATGCAGATTTTAAGTGAGACGTGCATGCTCAAATTTTTATTTTTATTTTTATTCCTACAGTCTTATGCGTGCATTCTATCAACACCATTGTGCCATATCTACCTCACGTCACACGTATTACCAATTTCTCTTTATCACATTGCTGAGCTTAATCTGAATTCGGTAATCCAGATATACTGCGAACAGTATAATTCAAAAGAGCGCGACAAGCATTTAGGGTGTATGGCAACTAGGGAGCACGAGCTATAGGGAAGTCATTTAAATTGAGAGTTCATGCGGAACATTTCTGTTTAGGATGGACTACGGTATTGAATATGAATACTTTTTACGATCGCATAAACAAAACGAATCGACCATCCTGGACTGGAGCAATCCCCTGTGAGTTGTAATCGGGATGCCAGCCTCTCAAATATATAGTAAAAAAAATTAAGGCATTTCTAATAATAAGTTACTAATGTGAATTTTTTAATAAATTAAAAATTAAAAGATCATCAAGTATACTTTTCTTGTTTAGAAGTCACGAACAAAGGAGAGAGGTTTACATGAATACTACTTTTTTATTATTTTCTGATAAAATTAAATTAAATTTTTCCATACTTCGTTTCCATTATAAATAGCCTGTTTCACGCGCGTCGCACAAAATTCAAGTGGCACGTCAATTGCAAATTGACCAAACACAGACGCGCGAAAACTTATCGAGTGATCCTTTAAGTGGATTTTTAACTCCACGTAAATCCCTGCACATATGGGCATTATTCCTGAACGATAGACTCTAACAAAAATAAGAAAACTCTCTTTCCCCGTAAGTTTGCATCTTTATAAATATATACATATTATATTAACTGTATGACAAAGTATTGTCTGAATATGAAGAAACCGAATTTAATTTGATTTCCTTTATCGGTCATTTGTATGGTGCTCGATAGATGCACCTTTGGAAAGTACAATATTATATTATACTAACATTAAAATTCACATAAAATGTTTCATAACCGATTTCTCACTCTTAACTAATATCTGTACCGTACAACCTACCGTTTCCGCTTCACCTTTTTAAATCGTTTGTGTGATCATTTTCCTCGTTCAATTATTTAAAAAAATTTCCATGTACATCGAGAACAGGTAAATCCAGGGCCTTCGTTTTCCATTCGTATTACATATGAATAATCCACTGAAATTGTACAACAGTTGCGTCACTTGTTTTGAAAAATTTTTGTTAGAGCCGGTCAATAGTCTATCGAAAATTTTCGAAATAATTAACAGTACAACCATACTACAACTCTAGTGCTATACAAATTTGTAGCACGATACAAGAATAATAGGGGTCGATACCTAGAGATTGTACAGCACTAGTAACAAAAAGTTAAATCGATACTAGTTGCAGATGTACCTAATAATTGCAATTAGTTAAATAAAAAGAATTTATTAAAAAAATATATTTTGACTTTAGGAAATAATACTCCACGCTTGGATCTGTCATCGCAACAATTTTAGTTACTTTTGTATCCAGCGAAATTGTATTTTAAAAATATTAATGAACATTTACTAATCACATACCGAATTAAAGAATTGCCTAATTATAATACCAAAGTATACTTGCTGAATGAAATCGGTAATTTATAATGCGCCAGCTTTTGTTAAAGTTGCCAAAGCATAAGTAAATGAGAAAAGCAAAAAGTTGCTATAACTGTTACAGAAGCACCAATCAAACGAAAGTAAAAATAACCCGGCAAGCATAGTATAATATTTCCATGAAAAATGCTAAAACTTCCTACCCAGTGACATACAATATCAGGCGTTTCATAACTATTACATCCTTCGGTAAGAAATTCGAACATTACTAATTTGTAACTGCCACACCGTGTTTCTTAAGGAAGGTACTTACCAAAGCAAAAAGCAATGCGCATATCTTAGACGACTTCACTATGCAGGATTTATTTGACGAATTAACTATGCGCCGGTATAACTCTTGTATAGATAAAGCTTTTATTTACATACTAACGACTAATTTATTTAACAATCAAGTGGATATATACAGTTTATCTCACTTTTGGCCATCGATCATAAAAGTATCTAACTTACATTAAAACCAACATTTCATATACGTAGTGTAACGTTAATACTATTCTCTATCATAAAATACTTCAATAGCTATTGTACTAAGTTTATGAATTTATTTACTACATAATGTCTAAGTAACTATATTATACGGACTACGTGTCTTTGATGCAAATTAATCGAAATCTCATCTGTTTCTTATCATCATGCTCGTGCTATACTGGAACTCGTTAAGATATACTTTGGATACTTTAATACTTCGTTTGAGAAACCGCAAAGTTTCCTGCGTCTCGCCCTTGGCCTCTTCTTGAATCATCAACCTTAATCATTCACGATTCTCCTCAACGTACTGCTTCGTATTTCTGCCTGTGTCCCGACTGAATTACACGTAATGACGTCTCCAAAAAACAAAAAGAAGCAAATACTCATACGACACTCGTATTTTCATTCTCGCTATATTTATCTATGGAATAAGAGAATACTGTAAATTCTTCACTGGACCACTGGACAATAGTGTTGTACAATAGCATGGCCTAGTCGTTAATAAATTAAATAGTATCCTTCAGAGAGAGAAATAAGTGAAGTTATGTATTTAAGCATATGCTCGATCAAGTACACTTCACTTAACGGGTGACACTTAAATGTGTCTTGTCGAATAATTTTTTAATGGGTTTCACGAAAGATTCTAACTGCGTCCTTTATAAAATGCTAATTTTTTTTCCACTACGATTATTCCATGAGCTGCTTCTCTTAATTTTAATGCTCGATTCACACCAACGACTTGCATCCACTATTGATCACACTTATAGAACAGCAATTTCATTTTGTACCCTATATATACCGGCTGTTCGAAAATGACCGTATCTCCGAAGAGTAATCAAATCTCGTGTGTTTTGAATTTAACAATAGGAAGAATTATTGTTGGAATAATAATCGAAAAAATTGTATTTCCATTCGATGAAATAATTGAGATTTATGATAATCGACTTGTTATTATATATTGTTCTTTAAATAATTATATCAATGGAAGTGCATACTGCAATTTTTTTTTATACGAACATACAATCTCTTTCGCACACCCTGTGTATATGTATTATATATATATATGTATATATATATTGTTTTCTCAAAAATTTTTTTTTGTATCAGCAAGTCAAAACCGTATCAGATTTACTAATCGCTGTTAATACCTTTCGCAGCGAGCAATCTCGCAAGTTCTTCTATTTTTGCAATATTTACTCGTATCCGCTATCCAGATTATAGAAAATTCTCGTTTTTCCCACGTGTATTTCTCCACAATCGTTTTCCATCAGTTTTATGATCTTTTATTACCGATTAAACTCGAGTTTCCTCGACAAGCAACTTAATCTTCGCAATCCACAAAAAGTGTTCCAACAGCGCTAAACTATATAATTTTCAACGATAAATCGAATGCCAAACGTTTTCGAAAAAAATACTAGCGATACAAATTATTGATTTTTAACTCTCGTAATAGTGGCGACCTCAATCTGAAATGGTCTATATATATGTATATGTATATATAAACAGTACAGACGAATAGAATACAATAATTTCAATATGCAGCCAATTCGCAACGAGTACCGAAATTTCATTTTAACGCATTAGAACAAACGGTCGCTTGGTATTAACATGCGTGAATCGCTGTAAAGATGATACCAGTCGTCAAAAAATGAAATAAGAAAAAAAAGACTAAAGAAAAAATTCGAAATTTCCATTCTATCACTTCCATCCCCTATGTGTATGCAACATTCCTCAAAAATTGGACTTGTTACATCGTTACGTTTACATAACATTACTACGGAGGGTCCCAAATACTGTTAGTTATCAATCTCTCTAGCAATATAGTTTACAATATTACATCATTAATTATTACAATATAAGCCTGCGAAAAGGCTCGTTATTCGTTATGTAAAGTAGTTTGTGCATGGTACCTGGATAACTTTGTTCGCATCACATGTACTATTATTACGATATAATAACAATAATAACAATGACAGTGATATATTAACGAACATTCGATTACTCGATCTCGCTCAGTCGATTCGCAATCGTGTTTACAAATCTCGCGAGATACGTCAAATTTTTTCGATATTACAACAAATTTGTCTTCTACACTTTTTCTAGCTATGGTCCAGCAGATTTTTCCACCTGAGTTAAATAATCTTAAAAGTTATTAAGTATCCACAGTGTCCAACGGACCTACATAATACCTCACGTGTACAGTTATATTAAATTTATCCGAACCTCGATTTCAAAATCATAGTATCAACTTTTCAAAAACTACAATAAGTACACGAATTTTCGTAATGTCAATTCTGCCTCAGGTAGATGAGATTTCAAGATTATCTATTATAGTATCTGAGAACGTAACTTTGCCGTCGTAGTACTCGCAACGGCGTACAGGCGGCGCTAGTGTCGCTTACATATTTCACTGACAGTAACTACACAATGCATAGACGTTTCCTTGCGATACAACGAAAGTGCATTTCTGTACAGCGCACTGTGAGCTATCACCAACACCGATTAATACCTCGTACAAATGTGTTGCCTGCGAGCAATTTGTATAAGAGACAGTTCAGACACTCTCGCGCTTGGTAGAACTTTATCACGATGTGCCACTCTTAAGAGGAAAACCCTAATAGGTGGAAAAATGAAAAAGAAGAACAACCAGGAAAGTTTATTCTGAGAATACCATAGTACGATCTGCCACTTCGTACGAGATTTAATATATATTTTACGTGCGACGTAAATCGACCGGCATAAAAAGAAACAATGACAGATACGCATCGACGCGAGGCGTCCTGTCGATCGTGAAATGGGATGGACGAAGGTAAGTCAAACGCAATTCCTAGTTAAGAGAACTCTTTGGAATGAACTTTACTAACTTAAGAGGTAACTAAAATAAAAGTACAAATAAATAATGAATATGAGATTTTCTATAAGAAAACGATAACGCACATATACACACGATCGTGTGTGTTCACTTGTATATATATTTATGTGTATATATTATATATATGTTTATATATATCTACCTACCTATTAATGTGTCCTAACCGTGTGTGTGTTTAGGTGGATAATGGTATGTATCGTATTATCTTGTCTCTGTAATGGCGTAAGCGTATAGACATACTTGAATCTATAGTTTTGTCTACGATTGGTAGATACCTAGCTATATATTAATTAATAGGCCAGTGTTGTAATTATTGCAGTCTTCAATGTTTAAAAGCCCTCTGTGTCTTTCGTTCTTTTCTTTTTCGTCTAGAAAATTTCTTTTTGTTCTCTTCCAACCGCATACGTCGTTCCAATTATCATTATCGCGTGATAAGTGTAGATGACTGTTATTCGTAAAAATATAAATATTTGGGGATCTAGTCGTTACGCCAAAGTGTTACGGAATATCTCGTGAAAATCCAATCTCACGTGAAACGTACTCCAAATGCAACGTCCACAGTGCATTCTGTAACATTGGAACTTGGAACAGAAGCAATTCTCAATTTTAATATTGAATACCGAAAACCCATTTGGTTCTCATTCGATTACCAATTCCGCACTTCCCGACTTGGTCTTTCGCGCTACGCTTCTCGCTCGCAAAGAAATAACAGCGTGTACAAATAATATGATAAATCTAACGAGCATCATAAACGCAGAATTACATGGATATTTACGAACTTAAGATATATCGTGAATATGTGTATATGGAAGTGATAAAAGAATTATCCAGTGCGTTACGTGTGGAGTACGAAAAAGGATTTTTATGATCACGTGATATGTATTTACATACGTAACGTGTCCGTGACTATTATTTAGTAATAAAAAGATCTATCTCTAGGGCGGAATGATGCTTTTAATTGATATTATAAATAAAAACTATTTAAATCATAATTAACGATAATATAATAACTTTGGTTCTCAGTGTTTTTCTATTATTAGTAGTGTTATTATTATTGTTATTAACGCTATGATTACACTGCGATCGATATCGGCTAAGATCACACGATAAACTATTCTCCTTCGTCGAAACTTACAGAGTTTCGCAATATAAACGTCGGCGTGTTTTAATCGCAAACCGTGATCGATATAAAAATTCGCATTGTTTCGCAAGCAAAGTTCGCTTCGTCCTTACGTATGTATCAGCAATCGGGAGAGACTTTTCAGTACTCTACGTCAGATTAATCGAGCATTTACGGAGGATTAAAAATTCATTGGTTTATTATGGTTAATCAATTTCTCTCTTTTGCGCTCTCTTGATTTATCTTGAATATTAAAAGTCTCCTTTTCATCTTCCCATCAACTGCTTAAGCGACTGTCAAGTTACACGTACCATTATGATTCATCGATCTCTGTTTATCTTTTGGGCCTGGTGAAGATCTTTCATGCATCACTTAAAAGCGACTCTAACGGCACTCGTGATCTTCGGACTGACGTATTTGTCAATCATGATCGGCGTAACGAGCGATCATACAACTTTTTTTGTATGCTTCCTAGTTCGAACGAAATTATAGTGACAGTGTCACTGCGAAGAACAAGAAAAAGAAATGATCTGTAATTAATGATACCAGCCGATCAACAGCGGATATCGCTGACACATTAGATTACCTATAATGCGTGCAACTTTAGGAGATATCAATGACCGTTACATCGATCGGTATTGAATTTTAGAAAAAAATTCGAAAATTCTAACCGTGCGAAATAACCGAAAACGTTAATAATTCTTTATCGTGCAATTTGGCATGATTTTCGTTTAAGCCTCGGACCGTCTTTAGATCCTGCATCCTTCCACTGAACACTGAGAAGCTTTTATATTGATCACGAGAAACTAGAATTCGAACAGATCGTGAGCTACGTAATAATTAAATTCAGCTTTTCCACAATTCCCTTCAGCATTTAACAGATCCAACGAGATAATTTCGTCCTATTAAAGTTACATCTCAAAACATTCTTTGTCCCTCTAACGTCTTTGCTCAATTTGGCACAATTATTATTCTTTCGAATACGAAGTATCGTGCATTGATAAAACTATCGTCTCCCCCAACACCCTAATGACGTATGACACGTTTTCAATGATCCTATAGAATTCCATACCGACAAAGAAATTCAATGTTGATTGGAAATATACTTAGGAACGATATTCCTATTCAGACGGTAAGGATGAAAAAGTTACCGTATAAACTCCGGAGCAAGAAAATGCATCGATCCGAAAGTGACGCCATGGCCTACATCAAGAAGCGCGGCCAACAGACACGACACGCGAATCGCTAATTTCTACTCCAAAAAGTATGTGCGGAATCTCCTGCTCGAGCTGATTGGCCGTAGCCGTACGTCAAAAATTTTGCTATCTCTTATACATATATACATTATACACGTCATGCAAGAGATGCACATAGATCCCAGACAGTGAAAGCCTTATACGCAAATCTACTCGTGGAGATTCAGCACAGTGCACAGCAAGGGTCATTCCCAATTTCGAAGAATTTTTACACACAAGATTCCCGCGAGCGTCAAAAGATACCAAAAACTTCTAACGGAGTAATTTGGTCTAAATCCGTAGGATCCGTGAGATCCAGTTGCTTCTTTGGACGCGTCCGTCACCTCGGGGATTAACGATCACCGTTTGCTTGAATTATTGAAAACGAAGACGGACGATGTACCCTTCTGTCGAAACAATTCCCAAAGGTCTCCCGCCGGTATTTTCATGAATCCTGCATCCCTAGAAAGCATTTGGGTAAACTTAGCGTATACATTGGAGGAGCTGACGCGTTCGACTGACATTCCTTAATTTTTACCTGAAGAAATGGTAACACGTTATATGTACATGCATAACGAGACAGTTCCTCATGACGATCCATTAGTCCAATATTCGAAGTTTTACACGTTCATTGCGTAGTACACAGAGTTCTGGGTATTCGGTGGTGGCACGCTGCTCGGATGTCCCAGGAAGGAGCTGGGTGGATGACCGGCGGATGTGTTGCTCGTGAAATCGTGAGCAGGTGCACTAGCGGCACCCTCGGGAACTCCACGTTCGGCCACGGTACGCTGTGCCTTGGTTGGCGAGGACAAGGGTGACGAGGAACTCGAGGAAATGGTAGAGAGCTGAACCGACGCGGTCGCCATGTTGTACGATGATAAGGATGAAGAGGTAGTTGCCGAAGGTACGGAAATCGTTTGCGTCTGTACATCGGCAGCGCCGCGTCCCAGATGTACTTGATAGGAGTAGCCAGCGCCACCCGGTGTAGCAGCCCGCATCGGTGTGGTCACGGAATAGGGGACGGAGGACGCGACCCCGTAGATCGGTATGGATTGTTGTTGATGCTGATGCTGATGTGGATGAGTATGAGGGTGGTGGTGCTGCGGCGGAGGAGGAGGTGGTGCCGGGGGTTGCTGCTGTTGTTGAATTTGCATGGGATGCCCGTGGGGCAGGTGAGCGGGGTGAGGGGGATGAAGATTATGAGGACCGAGGGGACCCAGCGAAGTCAAGGGTTGCAAACTACCGGCACCGGATAGACGAAACTCTTCGGGCTGATGGAGATGCAAATGCAGAGCAGGGCTTTGGGAATGGGCTGGAAGAACAGCCGCAGCTCTCGAATAGTAACGCGGTTGCTGATGCTGGTCCGCGTGAGCGTTTCGTGGATAAGGATAGCGCTCGATATGGTTTGCGTAATTCGGCGAGGAATGCGGCGGCAGGATCCGCTGGATGTTCTGATAGGTCGGATCCGATATTCCGTTATAGGGAACAAAATACATTGTCCGATAGCATTTAGCATCGGAAGTGGGAACTAGGCCGCAGTGGTTGGTGGAAACAGCCACGGCTGGATGACGTCGTGCCTTCGCCGGAAGGGTGCTGTAAATGTTTCCCGGTGCGCCGTCACCCCCGCCGGCGATGCGTAGCATTCTCGCACCTGCCGGGGTGTGTTGCTCGGGGAAGCGAACGCCATTCTTGTGATCGGGATAGCGATGACTTCCCTCGTCAGCCATGGGAACTCGAACTAACGGTCGCGGTAGAGTGCTCTCGAGATACGAGCTACGCTTCAGGGTGCCCTGGCTCACTGCGGACTCTCCTATAATCTCATACATCTCGTCGATCTGCTTCTGCATCGTCCTTATCCTGTCAATAGTGTTTGTATCCCGGCCATCCTCAAACATCACGTAGCCATCCTCGTCCGCGGGCTCGGGGAAGTTTTCAAATGTCGATTTTAAATATCGTTGTTGATTATGAAAACCGGCCTTAGCGTCGCCGAAGGAACCGGGCGCGACAGCGTTCCGCGATTGAAGCTGCCGTATGATCTCGTTGGTAGAGCCGAACTGAGGCTTTATACCTCGTACGGAAGGTCGCCGATTGAATCCATAATCATTGAGTTCGTCGTCCTCGTCGTCCTCGCGATGTTCCTCCGTGTCGTTGTAACGTTTCTTGATCCTCTCGGTCCTGGATTTGTCCTGCTCGACAAAGGCCAGCAATTCGTCGCTCGTGGAATCCCCACCGTCGCGATCGGGTCCTGTACCGGTCGGAGTTCCTCTAGTGACATCTGGCGGGCCAGCCGCGTTTTTATAATTCCTCTCTTCGCCCCGCAGGGCGGCGTCGATGTCCTCGAGACTGTACGAGGAATCCGAGTTGTACCCTATCGAGTCCCTGTTGCCGCTGGTTGTCATCTTCGAAGACAGTTGGTAGTAGTCCTCGCGATTATCCATAGCAGTGGCCGCGACGCAGGACAAGGGAGCGAGACTGGCAAGAAATTGCTTACGAGCATCCGAGTTCATCTTCGATACAGGTGTCTTGCCAGAGTAATCCTTTACCTGAGTCATCTTATTCCCAATACCCAGGTCAGGGAGATTCTTCGTCGAGTCGACAATCGCCTCGCATTTCTTCTGCCCAAACAAATCAGTGATCTTCTTGTACGTCGACTGATGAGTACCTCCGGGTCCACTGTTGGATCCACTGCTTGAGACATGTTCCTGGGAGTTGTTCGTGGATCCGGAATTACGCGAAAGAGTCTCGACCTTCGTCTCCTCGCCAGAGGGCGAAGTGCGTATTGGAAATTCAATATAGTCACTTCCATTCGCCGTAGTCGCATTCTCCGAGGTACTACTTTCCGTATCCAGATCATCCTGATCGACGCACGTCAACTGCCGTATCCTCTCCTCCAGGGTGAGATCCTTCGAGCGCAAGTTCTTCTTCTTGCTGCTAGACTCGAACTTGGATATGAGACTGCGTCTTAGCGCGTTCCGCTCTATTGTTTTCTTGATGCTCGAGGAATCGCTCTCGGACGAGTCGCTCTGTGCGCCAGTAAGTTTTGACCTTTTGACAGCGTCGAACAGTCGCAGGCTCTCGGTGGTTATCAAAAACTTTTGTGCCTCTGCGTTATTCGACTCCTCGCTGTCTTCCGGCCCAGTGGTCTGCGGTAGAGACTTGGCCGGTGCTGGAGGCGGGGAAATGAATCTCGGGTCAGGAAAGAGTTGTCTGACAGCTGAATTGGGTTTCAGACTGTTTGACACCAGAGATATTCTGCCCAGTTTAAATGACAACGACAATTCCGTCGGGTCCGGTGTCTCCCGGCCTCCTTGGTCGCTCGCGACAGACTTCGCGCCGATGGGCTTGTTCACGTTTTCAAGACTTCCGCACTTACTCGAGTCATCGAGATCGACCGAGGTCTCCTCCTTTCCGACTGTCTCGTCCTTTGGACTCTGGATGGACTTTACCAGGCTGCTGTCGCTCTCGTCTATTCCTGGTTTCGAGTCCTCCTCACTGATCTCCCGCACGACCCGACGTTCCGTTACCGTTGTCATTGTGATGGTCTCCACCAGATAGCGCTGATGCAAGTCTACAACATAGCAACGACTTATGATTAAGTAATCGTACTATTTTACTGCAATACACTTCAATTACAAGGACACTTTTCACCGTGGCTCCTTACTTCATTTATAATCAACAATATATTTTCCTTTCTCTTTTTCCGTACCACCCGACGATTTAATTGACAATTTTTCAACGGTGAATACAATGTTTCGTAACATGACCTAAGCGCCATTCCATAGCATACTGAATTGGTATAAAGCCATTTAGACCCATGAACGACTATCTCTCATGAAAACAAATAAAATTACGAAATTCAAATACCTATTTTTATTCTAGATACAGTATATCTCTTTTTACGAATTCGTCTACCACGCGTTATCGTCACTATCTCGTACGAGCATGAATATCGAGCGGATATACCTGGTGTGGTTTGTTGAGCCTGATCGCTCGTTTCCTGGGCAACGTCGTCCTCACCATTTTGCATGGATTCCTGACCGTTCGTGAAGTCCTCGCCGGTTCCCTCATTTTTCCCCTGTTCGTTCGATTCTGCAAAAAAAGGAAAATCCGTTGAGAGATACGTTCAGCCATGTTCCATTAAATGGGCGTCTTTACGACTAATCGCTCGCTCGGTCGCGTCTAACGTGACAGTCCCGTTAGACGGTAAAGAATTTAGGGTTCAAAATTTCAATTTTTATACTAAACACAGACGAAATTGAAAGCACGATAGAAACACTTGATTTCCTGGATCTCACTTCTGCAGATTTTGGTCTTGTACTTTATTCTGATCTCCATGTAATCATTTAACGATTTACTATTGCGAAGCAACGAACCACGCGTATTCGCCTTGACGACCAGTCGTCTACTGAAGCACCGCAAGTTGATTACCCTTCAGTTATTATCTGGCCGACTTGGATTTATCTCTTATCAGTTACATTGCGCTTTCTATGTATTCATTTAACTCTGTATATCTGTCGTGTTATCACAACGTAAACATACGATGATTTTTCCTCTGCTAATAGCAACGTTTTGTCTATACGAAATATGATAAGAGAAATTCCCATATTAATGATAAACTATGCAATCCCGCGGTAAGTGAATATATGCACTGCTCATATTTCAAATGATAGATATTTAAATGCACGGAGTAATTATAATTCACGTGTTCCGTTATGCATACGTTATGTACTGCACGGGTAAAAGGGAACTGCAGGTTTTAAAGATGACGTCAGAAAGGACATGTTTAGATGTCACTCGAGTCTCAGACGCACTGTGATCCTACGTACGTATATGCATCGCCGATTTCTTTCGCCTTGGTTAAACATAGATTCCGAATACACGAAAATATATAGAGAAAAGTTTTGATCAATTTCTAGAAAGCAGGGCATTGACTGCATTTGACCGCATCTTCAGGTATAACTAGATAACTCCAGTGACTGCAGCGACTCCAGTGAATGTAGCCCGGCCAAGTTTCTTTTCCTTACTTGGCGCGAGATTTGCCCGAGTCTCTTAGGTATCTTTACTGTGTTATATTGCTGATACGGCGGTCCGATTAAAACAAGAAGGTGATAACGTTTTTAGTACGATCGAAATAGAAGATAAAGCAACGTGAGAATTGTACGAGGCTCTCGTGTAATATAGATTTAATGTGTGTTCGGTATGCTCGAAAAAAATCATTATTTGAGCGCAAACTTCAATATTGACTTTATGCAATAATTACGATTCACGAAGCCGGCACGTATTGTTTGCTAAATAAATATGGGAAATGTAAATCCCGTTCGTTGTAGGAATAAAAATAATTTTCCGATAGCAAAAAATAGCGATAAGAACAGAAAAGCCAGATGCACGAAGTACAGTAAAGAACGGTGACGGTACGTTGAAGCTAAAGAAGAAAAAAAATACCAAACAGTTGCTGTTCACGAGAAAACAATCGAGTGTGTATAATAATAGTCAAAGTTTTCGGATTGCAGTGAAAGGAATATCGTACTTTTCAAAGATTATGAAACGTAATCTGTCGATAAAGCTGTTACGATACGTAACGTCAGTATCGGTCGCTCGAGAAGAAAAGTCGTGATGTCACGTAGGGACTCGCTTAATTTGCTGCATCAATCTCGATTTTCGACAGGGATCGACGAAAGAACGAAAAAGAGAAAAACAAGGAAGCAAGAGATATATAAAGCACGAATGACCCTAGACAAAGGAAAAAAAGGATGTAAAAAGATGAAAAAGGCCCAACGAAAAATTTGATTGAACGTTACGTGAAAGAAGTTACGAACGAGCAAACAGTCTAAATCAATGGCAATGTACGTACTCCAGGAGCTACCTTCTTCGCAGAGTACGGGGTATGGCGAGTGGCTAATGGAAAAGCTTTGAAAAGTGCAGGATCGCACGAATGCACGGCAGATTCGAAGCCTCGACGTTGATTTACACGGGAACGAATAAATCGGTAGTGCAGTAGAGGTTTGACAGCGAGCGATCGAAAAAGCAGCATTTTCCAAATGTTTTTGGAGTTAAAGCGAAAATTGGTCACAGGCCAACGCACGCGCACTCGCGTACGATCAGAGGACAGAGGCATCCGTTAAAAGTGCGTTCCTTTGTTCTCGCTTTATTATGCGACAGGCGCTCGACTGTTACACGATATACTAACTACCGACTACATAGACAGCGTACACGCATTCCATTGGACGGGATGCGAAGTGAATATAAAACACGTAGGTGAAGTGGACAGAAGATACACAAGTGGCTGTACGAGTATGAGGGTGAACTGTTCGGTGAGGACGAGGGTCTAGAGAGAGATAGAGAGAGATAGAGAGAGATAGAGAGAGATAGAGAGAGAGAGAGGGTGTCTGTAGAAGAAGGAGTTCTAAAGTATCCTACGCTTGAAGTATATCTACGTCGGGCTTCAGTCACGTTGACAACTCTGTCGCCCGGCTGAGTACGAGGCTTTGCTTTATTTATTTGAGTAGTATACCTACAACGACGCGACACACAACGCGGCTTCACGCTTTGTTAGGCTTGACATGAGCTCTGTTGTATAATTTCATTGCAGTAAATGTCGTTATGACTCTCGGTTAACTACCTTGGCATAGTAAGCATCGTCTTTAGTCGAGTTGGAACAAAGTGACACTTTTTTCTCGCTAGTTATACCGCGATAAATCAATTCGGTGCGGTCTGCTGTGTCGAGAGCGATGAAAGTCCTACGAGAAAGAAGGGCGATCACGTTGGTTGCGAAAAGTTTCATCGGAAATGTGAAAGTAGGGATAGCGGGACGCCGGTCGACGGTGGCGCCACCACCTTGAACGCGACGTCTTCAAGAACTGATTTGCTCGACAGAAAGACAAGCTATGCTCTTTCAGAAAATTTATTCCAGAGGACATTCGTTTGCACGAGTTTAATGAATGCATAATTGTATAAAAGGTTCATTAAAAGGATTAATAAAATATGTAAAGATCGGAGACGATGAAATGTCACCTTTGACATCCGTTGATTTAGTCGTATCGCGCCAAGAGCATGTATACAGGGTGGGGCATTTATAATGACTGGGTCGATTTTTTTTTCGGAAACGAAGACAGATATAAAAAAATGTTTCAGACAGGAGTCGTAGGATTTCAAGGGGAACGGAAGATTTCGTTATTGAATTTCTTTCTGAGTGCAGGCGTTAATGTAATTCGAAGGTCGACTTTAATAGTTTCTATAGGATGATGAAATTTTTATTCGGAAAATCAAGAGAGCATTCAATTTTGAGTCCAATGGTACAAGTACAATAATGACCGAAATTTAAAAATAAGAAAAAATGTCCGTTCTAAGTAGCTTACATGGTTACCTGGGACACATTGTACACGCGGCTTAAAGCATGATTTAACTAGGGCTATTAGCTAGCTATAGCAGGGACGTTAAAAATGCCTGGCTTAAATTTTGTCGTGTTTCGCGGTCGACTAGGACTGGAATTCCTTGTAGATT